GGGGGGGGGGGGGGGGGGAGAGGGAATTGCGAATTTACCACTGAAAACGTAAAAAAGACCACAATGCATTTACATCTTTTACACAGTCCCTTTTACACTCGATTATTGTAGTATATGCACGCATAGGCTCGTGTCTGTCACTGACGCCCGCTTCTTCCTGTTGACGACGCGCAATTTTGAGGTTGCTTGCCCAACGATTGCGCTGGACACGGGAAGCCCCAAAACGACCAACGAGGCTTGGGACAGTACTAGCCAGCTGCGACTAGCCTCTCAGGCCACTGAAAGTGATCTTCAATCTCGGCGGCCCTGGAGGACCACTGACCTCAGAGAACAGTGAATTAAAGCTACTGTCCTGCAAGAATCCAAGACAACATAGGTCACAAAAGAAAGACAGGAAAAGTACATGATTACGGGTAAGATAATGTGTTTGACGGAAGTTTGCGCAAAAATATTTTCAGCGAAAAAAAAGATTTTTTTTTTCACTGAAAAAATCTTACGTAAATTTACGTTAAGCACATTGCTAGGGCATGTGTATTACATTGTCTATCGCTTTTTGTACTCACTCCTATTATAGTCCCCGCTGGTGGACTGATAGTATTATGAAATAAATAAATAAATAAATAAATAAATAAATAAATAAATAATATTGAGAAATCGGTGTTTTTTGTTTTGTTTTGAACGATATTCATTTTTGTCACTGACGGATGTTTATTGGTGTTTTATGGTTAAAACTGGGAAGTATACAGGACTTTTTCAGTGAAAAAAAAAGCGCTTGCTCAAAAATATACAAAAACGGTGTTTTTCGGTTTTAACCGATTTGGTATTTTCGACACCCGCGGATGTTTATCGGTGTTTTTGGGTTAAAACCGGAAAGTATATAGCCTAGTAATAACCAGCCACTCTGTTGTTCCAACGCCCAAATAGCTAGCAAAGAAGCCAGCTCATATCTCAAGTGCTCCCGAACTGGCAGTCATTTTCACTAACGTACGTAGTATTTTTTCAAAACTAGATGAGTGAAGCATTGTATTTAATCAAGTTGTGCTTATATCGCCGTTTTAACTGAAGCGGGGTTATACCCTGATGTAAAAGATAAAGAGATTTTCGACACAGCGTCATCATTTTCTATTTATCTTGGCGACCGGGTTGACAGGAGGGGTGGGGATGTTTTCATGGCGGTCAAGGAAGATATTGCTTCTTCACGCTTAAATGTTTCTACGTGTTTAGAATCGGTTTAGATATCAGTAGACAGCAAATTCCCTGGTCACGTGTGGGGTGTGTCCTATTGTCCTCCAATTGTGACAATACTTTCAATGGCGCATTAAACGAAATGCTTTCACATATTTCTTCTTCATTTCCGAGAAAGCTCAGTTTCCCTTTTATGTGACGTTGGCTACTCCTCCATTGATTGGTCTGTCCCTGTAAATTTACATCGTAGTTCTGATGCTGGAAGATTCCGAGATAAGTGTTCTGATTTCACTTTTTCAGAGCTTGTCACTTTTGTGTCCAGAGTGACCCCGAATGCAGCACGATATTGGATATTGTGTTAACGACCACCCCCGAATTGGTGTCTGTTGTGTGACAGACACCAATAGAGACGGAATAAGCGACCATAAGCTTCTTCATTTTAAAATGTTTTTCGCAATTTTGAATAAAAATATTTGTATAAAAGTTATAAAAAGCTATAGCAAAGGTCACTATGTTAGTATCAACACTAGCCTCTAATTGTTTTCTCAGGAATACCTGTTTCTTTTTTTTTTCGCGTCAGTAAAACCTGGCTTTCATATGAGATAAAAGCGCTTGAATTAGCTAACAAGTACGTTCCCACTATTTCAATAAAAATCACGCTATTGCTCCGTGGTTTAACCGTGAGCTAATAAGTAACTTAAAAAAGCGCCTCTTTCGTAAAGCTAAATGTAACAACACTTTCAATGACTGGGATCAGTATAATATTTATCATCTTGAATACAAGAACGCGAGTCGCGAAGTGCGTAGTACATTTGATAATGAAGGTCTTTAGTTAATGTTACAAAATAGTCTGGGGAAATTCTGGAGCATAGTGAACCCCCGACGTTCATCTCATTTGAACTTTAAAAACACTAAAGGGAATGCTGTTCCAGAGAGTGAATTTGCGCAGATTCTTAACAACGAATTTGCTACAGTATTTACTAAAGAGAGCTCTGGAGCCAAGCCGACTTCTCTTTCTTATAATTTAAATACAATAGCAAATTCTAACATGACCCCCCCCCCCCCCCCCCCCCCCCCCCGAAACGGTGTTCTAAACGTAACAAATAACTTAAATTTTCCTCAGCAGGTGAAATTGGTATCAGCGCTAAATTAATTATTTATTCTAAGAAAATATCCAGTTGTTTTTATCATATTTTTTCACAATGTCTGTTTTTAGGTAACGTACCATCTGATTGGAAAATTGGTAAGGTCGTTCCGGTCCACAAGGGAGGCTCTAAACCTGACGTGAATAATTATAGGCCCATTTCTTTGATCAGTATTTCCTGTAAATTACTGGAACATATAATATATTCCTATCTTGCAAAATTCCCAGAGGACAACTTTCCCTACTCATCAACATACTTTTTGAAAGAAGTTTTTCTGCAAAACACAACTAGCTGGATTTGTTTTTGAAGTTCATTTTAACATTAATAGAGTTTATCAGACTAGCGCCCAATTTCTGGATTATTCAAAAGCCTTCGATCGCGTACTTCATTAACGTCTACTCCTTAAACTTTCTGTACTTGGGATTGATGCCAATATTCTAGCATAGATAACTGATTTCCTAACAGATAGGTTCCAATATACTACTTTCAATAACTCTGCATTCAATATTTCAACGGTTACTTCTGGGTCCTCTACTATTCTCTATATACTTTATTGACCTCGCTAACACTACGTTCATCAGTACTATGGTGCTTGGTGGAGCGCGTCTTCGACCGGTGTGTTTAGCGTCCTATCCCGTCCTTACATCAAAAGTGGTCCCGAAGAGGCACCAAACGACGTCACAAAAGCCGGAGTGTCATGCTGTTGGATATCGTGATCATGGTGGTTGTCGTAAAATTGCTGCTGGAAAGCACGAGCGAACACGAGCGTCGCTGTGGTCATGGCGTCCCAACTTCTGGCTGCCGGAGCTTCCGTGGACTGCCAGATTGGAGTGCGACCTGCAGCAGAACAGGCGTCTGCCACATACACCACCACCATTGGGACGCCGCCAGGATTGCGACCGGCGACAGCAGGACACTTCTGTGACGTCACCAGGCGAATATCGAGGGACCACTTATTTTGGGCGCAGTAAACACGCCAGTCGAAGACGCGTTCCAGGCACCATAGTCAGTACGACTCTTTGCAGATGACCGCGTCATCTATCCTCGTGTGTGTGACATGACTGAATCTAATGCTTTGTAGACTGACTCGCTGACAATACAATCGTGGTGTTCTTCATGGCTAATGGTGGTAAATCCTAACAAATGCAAACATGTTCCTTTCAGCAAAAGTTACTCTAACTTTCAAGTGACTTACTATGTTAATGATACTCCATTTGAGACTGCCGGCCGATTCATATATATACTCGGGCGTTCACACCACATCTGATCTTTCATGGAACGTTCACGTAATTATGTCCTTTCTAAATCAAATCGCAGCTTCGGTTACTTCAAACGCAATCTTAGTAACGCCCCGTCTCTGAAACGTCTAACATACGTGTCGATACTCCGTCTTAGCTTGGAATATGCTTCTAATATTTGGAACCCCCACCTGTGTTAGTTAACAAAGTTCATGGAGGCATTCCAAAACCGTTCCGTGCGGTTTATTTATTCTAATTATTTACTTAAACGAATGACACTAACTTAAAGCTTTCTGCGGATCTTGAACCTTTACAGTTTCGACGCAGACTGTCTAAATTCAGTCTCTTTTACAAAGTTGACTATGCTAATCACTACGTTCATCTTTACTCGTACCACTCTCCTACATTTCTGCTCGTCTCGATAATTCTTGTAAGAGTGCCTTATTAATTGATCTTCAGCTTTATTTTCTCTCTCTTTTTGGCCTTCAACCGTTGCGGACTGGAACGGCATTACTGACGAAATTGTTATCATTTCTGACCCTCTTATGTTTCGTCAAGCTACTTTTCATTTGTTGAAACTTTGTTAGTGTTTTCCGCAACATATCGTGTTACAATAAATTAAATTGTATAAATATGCCATATTTTGTATTATTTCGAGTGGCTGAACTTTTGTTTTATTCTTTATGTCCATCTTTCTTCTTACATAATGTCCTTCACGGGCCCGTTAGGTATTGAAATAAAAACAAAATAAAAAGGTGACCCTGGACTCTAAAAACACCAAAACACTCAGTTCCTTATAATGAACGGGAAGAAGGATTTCTCAACTACGGCTCTAGAACTTTATCGGCCCCCAACACATTATGAAAAAGCCATCGAGCTGTGAGAATAGTTTTCTTCATTGCTATCTGAGACACTCATTGATTACAGAACAATTAGCGTTTTGCGAGAAGGGGGTAGAAATTGAACATATAAACTTATAAGTATGAAGGTCACACGTGTTAATAATTGAGTTCACTGGAATTTAACTGGGAGTGAAGGTGAACGGCCTAGTAAAAACGGGGAGATTGGTGGTCGAGTGTGTTAGCATGCCACATCCCCGAGCACGCGGAGACAAAGCTCACGCTGCAGAATCCAGAGCATCCTCGGTTCAATCCCCACCCCTGCCCGTTTCGATCTGGATGAGCATCGTACCGGCGTGCGGTCGTGTATCACTACTGCGTGGTGCACGTTAAAGACACCAGGCTAGCAGTCGTACTGCTGGCTAGACCTCTCATCTACAGCGGACACGACAGATGCCAACTGGTGCCGACTAACTTATCACTGCATCTTGTCACACATTGAGTGTATAGGAAGACAAAAATACGACGTTCTCGGTAAAAGGTCTAACACTCAAAACGCAAAGTATCCGTTAAATATCTGCCCTAATGTTTACCTACATCCACTCAGACACAGCAGGCACCATGTTGTTGCCCACGTAAACAAAGTTGGTGTTTCCCGACAGGGACATCTGCATCCCCGCCAACTGATTGAGCGAGAGGCCAACCTGGGGAAATGAGAAGGCATTCAATTCGCCGTGGTGACTTAAAAAAAAAAGAAGAAAGAAACACATGCTATGCTGAAACAAAGAAAATGAAGTGAATAGTCGGAGGCTGGCACTGTGGAAAACTGCCGGAGAGTGTTCAAGTTTAAGGTAAATAAGAGTTAGTATTTTGAACATATAGCCCGATTTCCTATCAGCCGGAAACTATAAGGGGCGCTTTTTCCAGCTTGTTTACAAATCTCGGAATTTACTCAACTCAAGGGCCGTGCCCTCGATTGTTCACGTCACCTATATTGATCAAGCGCGAGCCGCAGACTGGACAGGAGTGCTGCGTGACGGTTCCGCTGAGCGTACACTCTAAGAAATGCCTGTGTGTCTATTTACCTTCAAAACACTCAAAGAGCTAATCTCTGCGATCAGCGAAATCAGCGCAGCGAATGATGAGGCGGAACATCCGTTTAGACCAAAAAATGAAGTCTGCGCGGTGGCATTACGCAATGCAAGTATGACGCTTTGCATTGCGCAATGCCACAGCGTAGACTTCAATTTTAGTTCTAAACGGATGTTCCGCCTCGTCATTCGCTGAGCTGATTTTATAGATGGCAGAGATTAGCTCTTTGTCTATTTTTGCAGGTAAGTAAACGCTCAGACATTTCTTAGAGTGTAGTGATTAACAGGCGCTTCATAGTTTGTGACTAGTCACGTAGCCAAATGCTGTTGTTCCCGAACGCTGACGCCACGTTTAGCTGGGACTCGTGACGTAGTCGAGCGCTGACGCAGGGTTCGGCTACGTCAGCCGATTTTTTGCGGCAGAAACAATGTAATTTTTGTGTGTTGACCTCCGACCTGAAGTGAATGGCTGCAGGCGCGGTTGTCAATATACTGACAATATTTCGATACACTAGACGTCAGAACATGGCCAGAGGCCGACAGATACACAAAATATGTACACCGACTAAAAGCGTAAGGCCCCGGCGCACTATTGGCACCCATTTGGTCGGTGGAAAATAACAGACGACAAAGAAGTAGGGATGCGCGAACAGCAGCCATAATCGAGGAGCGCTACGTCATTGACAGCTTTCGCAGTGTAAGGAAAGGCTGCGACATAAAGTGTGTCGTTTCCACGTTGAAACTAACGATCTGACTGTTTTGATTAAAAGCTGAACGAGCCGACCCATAAAAAAGTCGACGAACGCAGTCGCGCTGTATTTTTGTTAGCTATGGCGACCGCGTTGTAGACAACACAAAAAGAAAGACAGAATAGAAACACATAAAAGGGATGACTGGTCTACGGGCTGGTCAATCACTCCCCCCCCCCCCCCCCCCCCCCCCCCCCCCCAATAACTTATCTTGAAAACAAAATTTACGGCACGAGAGTTCGTGGGCTCTATGCGCGCCACCTGCGTTTGCTTGCCCACGCATAGCCTCCTCTATACTCACAAATCCTGGCAGTTCGACGACGGAGCCATAGAGTGCCCGGTCGCAGATTTGGAGCGCGAGCACCTGGTAGCACAGAACATCAAAGAGTCATTTCTCGGGGAACCGGGACGTCAGCGCACAGCTTTTGCAGCGGCGAGGACCCGAGGCGCACTTGTTCAACGGGAGAAGTGTGTTTCGGCGTCTCGCCGCAGCGGGGCGCCAGTCACGTAGCTCTCCTCTCATCTGTTGCCTGCTGCTCCACCTTTTCTATTTCGGCAGCCGCTTCTTGTGGCAATCTGCCAGGCTTTGCCAGTATACAGGAGGCTATGGCCCACCAATTAATTTCATGTGCTTTTATTTACCCTCGACATCAGCCATTGACGGCGCGCGTTTGGCTGCCTCGTCATCGCACGTTCTCTTGGCATTCTCACCGCCGCCCTTTGATTGGAGCGTTTCTCTTTACCTTCTGATGCGCGTAAAGGCGTCCTCTGGCGCACTTGCTCCGCTCAATTAAAGCCTGAATTCCACGGAGTGAATTATGCGCAAAATACCTGACGAACGTCGTCCGACGGCACGCTCGCTTTGCGCGCAACGTAGCAGCCAGCTTGACGATAAAACACGCGGAGCTAAAGCTTTCAGGCAAAGTTCGTCGATTCTTCGCAGCATGTATTCGCCCTCTGGAGCCCAGCCGTAATGCATTCTTTGACAACTCCTGACTAGGTCCCTGTGAAAGTCAAGGGAATACTTAGGAGGGGGTTCGAACACTGAGCTTTTGCTTATTTTTTAAAGCTGCTTTTAGTTTTGGTGCATATCCAAACAAAAAGGACAGGATAAATATTCTGTCCTTCTAGCGATGAAGGACAGTGTAATGCAGCATTTTTTAGAATTATTCCTGAAGCGCAGTCACACAGCCTAAAGCAGAGGCGCTGTTATATACTATTGCGTGATTTGAAAAGAAGGTGCACGCCAAATATTGATCTTATAACAATTTCGGCATAATATAGCACGAAAAGTGACAGTCACATTTCACCAGAAAGCCTAATATACTACCGAAGATCTTCCATATTAGAAATATGTGTTACCTAAAATTACCGGATCTTGAAGTAAGCTGCCACTTGAAAGCGAAATATACCAAGTGTTTTTTTAGGCTTTATAATTTTTTTTTTCATAAAATGCCTTCCAAGCTTTACTATCTACGTTTGTGCAGTTATACTAGGGTCGAATAGTCATGTAACATGGCTAATTATTCAAAGTTTGATAAATTGAACTCTTTTTTCATTCGGGACAAATAAACATATGGTCTCAATGAGACACTTGCTGTGCGTCATCGGAAACAAATTAATCGACAAATTTTAGAAGAATTTGGAGCGCGAGGGAAGCATCGTAATACACGAAACTCACCATTCGTGCAACAGGCGACAAGCTGGCAGTGCGCAGACGTGGGTGATAAGAAACAGAGAAATCGCTCAGACTTGTTTTCGCACCCGGAGCCTCGTGCCCGTTGCATGCGCGGTTTTTCAGTCATGCACTGCCGGCTTTGCGCCTCTTACCGCATCACTGCATCACTGCGCTTCCCACACGCTCTAACTTTTTTTTTTAATATAAGTTAACTCATCTAGTGTTTCTTATTGCGTTCCGCACATTTGTAATTGTGCCCATATGTTTTTCTTGGGAAGTTAAAAAGTTATTTAACACATTCCGATTATTTAATCAATTTATCGTGACGATTAGCTTCATATTTCATGTCCACCATAATGCATGCGTTATTGGTCCAAGTTAACGAAGATACAGACGTTCGGTCTGCGTAGGTATATCTGCACAGACCGAGCGCGTGTACCTTCGTTGTCTTTTGTCTTTGAAGTCTGTAAAGCACATAAGAAGCGCTCTGTCTACACAAGAAACATCATGCGAAGAGAGACTGTATCTTATAAGTGGAACCTGCAATCTTGAAATGTACCTTTAATAATTAAAACTCGTATGATCCTAAAAGACTCCATGAAATACACGCTTACCTTTTCGTATAGAATAACTCATTGACCGGCTGGTTGGAACGTCCAAAACACGCCTTATTGCGTTGTTCTGTAGGTTTGTTATAGAAAGCAGTTTTTCTCACCTGATGCCAGTAAGGATCTGTACTTGAATATTCCGCTACATTCGCAACCATAGACTCTATATTTGCGTGAAGGTACTTGAAAAGCTCAGCGCAGAATCGGGGGTCCTCCTCGCAGTACTTGTTGAACTCATTTGTAAACTGCTCTTGAATTAGAGTCCGTGTGAGTCGGCCTTCCACCAGTCCCGCAGCAAATGCTTGCTGGTCGTCCAGGTAGAATTCGTTTGTGTGCACCACTATAGATGACCACCTGCGGTAAGAAAGGCACGTGCATTGTATGGTCTAGCTAAGGGACACACCAAAGTGAAGAGAGGCTCATGGTTCTTCGTTTGGTTATTACTTTTCAAGTACCCTTTGAGGCCGACAGAGAGAGCTATGCTTTCTGCATCAAGAGTACGTGGAACCATTTTAGTCCTTACACATTTTAATTTTAGAATTACGCGTTTTTATGTAAGACAAATGTTATGTTAAAGAATAAAAATAAAAAGACGGTTTCTTGTAAGAAAATTTAGACTTTATTCAACTGCTGATTGGGTGCTCCATCTCTTTCCCTGGAGATGACTGCATCCTTTACTTAAAAACTACGTCCCCTCATACTTCCTCCATGCTCCAGAAAAAGATATACTAAATTAATCAGTAGTCTAACGAACGACTAATGGCTTTAACGCAGCATTAGCCTAAGGTATTCAATGCGTTTGTTTATGTTGGTTTCCTCTACCAACCTCCGCCCCTCTTGCTCTCAATGGTAGCCCTTGGAGGACATAGAGACGTGAATCATTACCTTAGTGTGTTCTTTCTTTAACTTATTTTTGGGTAAGCACATTGAATCAGTCGTATCGTCTGCCAGTTAAAACCTAGCCTTGAGAAATCTGGTGCGTCAACTTTTCCGTGAGCCACTTGGCAGAACAAATTGCTACAATATACGGAGGCAGCTCGGTGGATGACGAGCCTGAAAATATGTTCATAAGGAGGGGAGTTCGTCTGCATCTTCTGCAGGGGTTGCGGTGACGTCAGAAAGATGCCGAGCCCTGATTGGTTCTGATTGAAGAATAGTGGGTAGACCTCAAGGCGGCTTGCCTTGAGCTCTACCCATTATCCTTCATTCAAAGCCAATCAGAGCTCGGCGTCTTTCTGACGTCACCTCAACTCCTACAAATGAAGCAAATGACTTGCTCCCCGCATACCTAAAAAAATACAGTCGGCGATCGTACACTAAGTATGACCTTTAACATTGAGCAGTTCCAGAGCTGAGACGGTTTTTTGAGATCTAAACACATTTCAGTGGAGTATCCTCCGTATATTGCAACGATTGGCTTTCCCAACTGCTTTGCGGGAAAGTGGACGCTCCCGATTTGAGCTCCTCTCGTGGTAATTACTAACTCTAGCGTGAACCGCCACAAAACTACTCGAACATAAACCACCACATCTCCTCAAAATAGATTCGTGCGTTTTTTGTGAACCGATTACTCACGTTTTTCAGAGGTCTTATTTAAATAAAGTCTGAATATTTTCTTCCCGTGCTCGTAACCCGCCTAAAAAGTGCTGGGTCTCTTTCTGCTAGGCAATGTTTTCTTTTCCTTACCAATATTAAACATAACTCTTCAGCTATCGGCAATGTACTCTTTTACTAGATTTGCATTGAAACAAAACAGCTAGGCTTCATCCTTTTCCAGCAACCTTTGAACTCCTAAACCAATGTTTGAAATCATTTAATAAATTCTTTGAAATGTTTTTGACCGCGAAACAGTCAATGCTTGAGATAACACCCGATAACTCTTTTTGGGGGTTCAATGTAGAGAAATTATCAGAAGTGATGCTCAACTAATTATGACAAACGTTTGAAGAAAAAACACAACGTTGGTGGATGTTCCTTGACATAGGCGAGTAAGAGGTTTATGGTTCTATCTCGCAAAGCACAACTATTCCACGTCGAAGACAATAAAGCCATGAGTTACTCTACATCAGGAATAAAGTAATTTGTTTTTAATAAATGGCACACAAATCGTATAAACTAGTTTCTGAGGATCTTTCGCGCCATAGGAACAATTCCCCCCGAAGAAATACTTAACAAAAACCATCTACGCACGCCCTTCTTGAGAGTCAGAAGCACTTCTTTTTTTAAGCTGGATTCAATTATTTTCACATTAAGCATAATGGTTTTCTGGAATCATACTTGTTTCTATAATGGTCCAGCAGTGCAGGCCTACGAAAGGTGCGAAGTGCCAGGGTGTAACTATACTTGTTATTTTGGCCTTCAGTTACAAAAACAAGTGCCATAGTTAGGCTTCACTACCTGGTTGTTTTGTTGTCACTTAGCTCCTTTAGGCCTCAGTATCGGAGAAAATTCCAGAATTAAGTTTTACTTGTTTGTATTCACCTGGCAACTTTGGGCCAAAATTGGCTAACCAGTGCCAGAATTAGGATTCACTGCTAGTTGCTCGGTTGATACCTGGCATATATGGCTCGTGTTTGGAAAGTTGGCATTTATGTGACAATCCAGAGAAAAGTCATACAAATACTTTGGCACTAACCTTGGAGAAAAGCCGTATTAGGTTCAAGCTATACATCTAGGATTGCCGAGCTGGGTACTTTTTTTTTGCGTGCTGCCTGGGTATCTTTGCAAAAGTGGTTTTTTCTTGTTTAGTTCTCTGTTTTAAGGAACGAGACTTATGCACTGTTCATTCATTGTTTCCACAGGGAACCTCATCGTTACGTTACCGTGTCTACAAACCTGGTCCAAATAAAAGGGCATGCTACCAGGCATGACGTAGGAGGCCGCACTATTTATTTATTCAGGGAATCTACCCTCAGCGTCCGAAGACATTAAACCAGGGAAAAGCAAATGCATGAAAAAATAGGCTGTGATGCTTCAACAAATGAACAACTAACATGTGTAAAAAAATACAGGTCACCAATCGCGACAAAAATGATTAGCGAAAGCATTTCGAAACATGCGGTAGGGTCAGGTATATTGGAAATCGAACCGAGCAGGTTGTTTTATTATTACGCTCGGAGAGGTTGGAAATATCTGAAATGACGTGGTTAAGAGCTTGCGACTACAACTTTACGCAAATAGTCAAAACCAGATGAGATGCGAAAGGGAACCGTTTTCAAGAGATCCCATAAGACTGCGTGAAATAGTGCAACCCCCTAACGTTCACACTAATTTCAAATTAAACAAATACGTTCAAAAGCGTACCTCGCAAATGCATAAAATCTTAAGTGGACGCATAATCTGTCTAGCACTAAAATCGAAATATTTAATATATAAAAAACTGTCAAGAAATAGCCACAACATAATTATATTTTGTTTGGAAGCCAACTGAAACAGATTATCAATGCAGAACCAACATACCCGGTGGTGTTTCTGTGATCGGTGAACACTGCCCAAGCAATGCTGTTGTATGTTTGGTTCGAGTCGTGCAGCTGAAATCGTCCGTTTGTGCCGTCCCAGGTGACACTCGCCACTCTCATCGTTGAATCGGCTTCAGTTGAAGACATAATAGACGCGGCTACAAAGAGCCCAAGTAGCAAGTACCGATAAAGCTGCATTGTTTAGGTAAAGGAAATAGTGATAACCTCTACAATATCTGAAAAAGAAGCAAGGCAAGTAAAATTCCATGTTAATTCACCTCATAGGTTATATTCAGACATATAATGCGGTAACATATCAAGCAATATAGTCAAAACTGCTAATAGTCACGGCGCTTATGAAAAGAAATGAATTTAAAATAAGACGAGCGGGATGTTAAAAATAAAAAAAGAACAATTACGAACTGTTTCATTAGGACCCGTCCAACACTACGCGGATTTTTTTCCTTTTTTTATTTCAGACGTTCTAGTCGTGCCTGATAAGGTTTCGTGTACTGTTTTAAATCGCGCGAATAAAACTACACTTTTGACATTACTCACCCTATATTTACGTTACATTTTAATTCATATATCCACAAATAACCCCCGTAGTTTGTTCAATGGTACACTCTAACAACGGGGCAGTGGCACCTCGGGGGCAGCGTTCAGGGCTCGCCCTCCATCGTTTCATCAGTCGCCGTCAAAGATATGTTTCGCGGTTTATGTCGGTCAAATGATGCTCATAGATAGAAATGGAAGGGTACCGATTATTTTGTTCACCATCATTAATTTGGGCGGCAGAAGTAGCGTTATTTGTAGCACGGCGGCCTATAGACCTACCGCTTCCAATACCATCCCGGATCACCAAAATCCGCTGGTTAAATAAGGCGGAGCCTCCTTCAAGCCCCTGTTGCAACAAAATTAATCGCGTACCAAACAATATTTCAACCTAAGCTGGAATATGCAACTATTATGCGACATTAGCATCAAGGCTACAAGACACATAAATTAGAGTTCGTTCTTTTTATGACAATATTTTTATTCCTTGAACATTAGTCGTAATAAAAAAAAAGCATTAGGAAACAGCGCATCAGAGAAAAGATTTCAAGCCAATTCAAGGGCAAGAGCCAGCATCCAGAATCGCGCTTATTTCAGGAACCGACAAAAAAAATCAAGATCTAGTAATGCTAGAAAGGACCAGATTACCACGTGAGCTGCATTTTCAGTCGTCGGGAGTTAGAACGTTTACTGCCACTTACCCATTACCTGAGTAACGGATCATTGGCTCTCAAGTTGTGTGTATTATGCCACTACCAATGAGTAGTTGTAGCTGCCCAAAATCATTGTTCAATAAATCATATATGTGCTTCTTTCAGAGTTAATATGTATTTGTTGAGTACCACACTGAAGGTCACGAGTGGCTTGTGAGCACGTAAAAATAAGTTTCCCTTCCTCCTTTTATTTTTAAAGGTCGTGTTTTCGAACACCTATTTTGTCCTTGGCAAATGAAGTTCCCTTATTGCTATAATGGTGTGTGCATTAGTAGCCGGACTCATTCAATGTACTATCGGGGAAAAATGAAATGCGAACAGAGGAGCGCGTGGCTCGCGGTACAGGCTGCGCCGCCTGGAAGTGAACCTAGGGGCGAGGGTGCGTGGCCTACTTCGATGTGTTCACGCCCCTCGATTGGCCCTCCCCCAGCTTCGGCAGTGCGCCTCTCAGTGCGCTGAAAGCTGTCACCGCTATCTTTGCCTGCTCGGCGAGTGCGGCGAGCTTCTTTGCACCGCACGCGCTGAGCCAGCAAAGATAGCAGTGATAGCTTTCAGCGCACTAAGAGGCGCACTGCTGAAGCTTGGGGAGCACCACTGATCTCTATGACAATTGCTGGATCGCGCTTCCCCGCTTGTTCGCTGCAGCGCAAGTGAAGCCACCGGGCTTCACTCGCTTGGGATACGATTTGCCGTTTTTGCTAGCCTTTGCTGCGGTTTTCCAGCGTGCTGACGACACGTTTTCTACTCGTTCGTCGTCATTCGCCGAAGAAGTTTTTTGAAGACTCTGTGTATTGTTGAGACTTTCCGTTGTGAACACGTGGAAAATTTTACGAAAGTGCAGTGTCGCAGGAAAAAGGCACAACGCGTCGAAAGGAAGGGCTGGCGGCGTGTTCAAAGCATCCTTGGCACGCCGAAGTGCCGTGTCTCTGTGCCTTCGCACGCTTGGATACCGACCAAGAACCGACGCCGTGTGTATGTGTTCAGCGAGTGCAATGTGCGTGAAGCTGTTCGTGCCTCTGGATCAGCGTCTTTTCCCCTCGCGGTTTAGGAACGAGCTTAATCCAGCGTCCACTAGCGACGGAAGATGGGGAGAAGGTACGTCTTTTTTTCGTCCTTAGACGATTTACACAATACCGTGCACAACAGCTCCTCATCACTGATCAGTGCTGGCTTATTATCAACCTACGCGACTCGCCTAATTGTAATTGGTCAACAGATTGCACACGACCATATCGGCCGCGCTTCAAAGATTTTCATTCTCGCCGTCTTGTACTTTTGCTTTCGAAAACCCCCTGGCTCCACGTACAACCCTATTCGTGCTCCCACGGAATCTATTAGAGTAGATTTGGGACATAGCCATGGTTAATATAGTACATAAGAATACGTACGGATCTCCCCCTTTTATTGATAGCAACTCACCGGAACAGCTGGACGATCCAGAACTCCGTGGCCGATATATATAAATGATCTAAAGGCATCTACGCGCGACACACGTTCAGAACTTTGGCGCGGCGTCAATTCTTGACCGGTATCCAGCGTGCGAAGGCACAAAGATGCATCACTCGGCGTGCCAAGGAAGCTTTGATCACGCCGCGACACCGGCGACACGTTTTCGACGAGTTGTACCTTTTGATACGGCTTCACGCACATTGCACTCGCTAAACACATTCACACGGCGTCGGTTCTTGGTCGGTATCCAAGCGCGCGAAGGCACAGAGACACGGCACTTCGGCGTGCCAAGGATGCTTTGAACACGCCGCCAGCCCTTCCTTTCGACGCGTTGTGCCTTTTTCCTGCGACACTGCACTTTCGTAAAATTTTCCACGTGTTCACAACGGAAAGTCTCAACAATACACAGAGTCTTCAAAAAACTTCTTCGGCGAATGACGACGAACGAGTAGAAAACGTGTCGTCAGCACGCTGGAAAACCGCAGCAAAGGTTAGCAAAAACGGCAAATCGTATCCCAAGCGAGTGACGCCCGGTGGCTTCACTTGCGGGAGCGGCAAGCGCGATCCAGCAATTGTCATTGAGATCAGTGGGGAGCACAGAGGGAGGGGCGTGAACGCGTCGGAGTAGGCCAAGCACCCTCGCTCCTAGGCTCACTTCCAGGCGGCGCAGCCTGTACCGCGAGCCACGCGCTCCTCTGTTCGCATTTCATTTTTCCCCGATAGTACGTGCTCTGGCCAGGGCACTCTCTCGTGTGCTGTTGTTCGTAATCACCAAGAATGCCTTAGTTTTACTTCACTCCTGTTTATAAGAAATAATGTGAGATAAAAAAGGTTGCTCAGCTTATTATTTAAATATTTTAAATAGAAGAACATGGCCATTTTATTTTGAAGGCCACATTCCAATAATGATTTATTCCAAAGAGTAATTATATTCAGATTTTTTCCCAATGTACGCTTGAATTCAGTTGGAAAATGCATACATCTTTGCTCCGTGTCTGTTCGACCCTTTTTGTCCCCTTGCTCTAGAGTTACTGTGTCTAAGCAATCTCTACCAGAGTGCTCTTTGGACACCCGGATAGCCAATACGACGAGCAGAGACTGAAGGAATAATTGAGAGAGGGAAGTCTACCGGGGGAGGGTCGCGCCGACGGCGTTGGAACGGGTTGCTTACGAAGGTCGCTCGGCCACACTCCTGGCGCAAGAACCCTATTTCTCCCCCGAAAAGGGCGAGCGACGGTGATCCTCCTCCCGTTTTCCCCAAAGAACATCTCTTCAAATCTCTCCTTCCTGAGCCAGGAGGACTCGACGTCCTTGAGCGAGGAGGACTCCGTTCATTCCATAGCTGTCGGTGCCGGGGGAGCTACGCGCCCGCCGGACCAGACAATCGCTGCCTTTTCATCACCTGCCGCGCTCTCTGCGCGTGGTTGCGGAAGGGAGCTTGACCACGTGATTAAAAATAGACGCATGATTGGTTCTCGGAGTACCTCAGCTTCCCTCTACACTCTTAGCTTAGGGGTGATTGAGTCCAGCCCGCGAAACAAACAAACAAACAAACACACACAGACACACTCACACACGCGCACGTACACACACACAAGCAAACACGCACGCACACACGCGCACACACGCACACACACACACACACGCACACCCACACACCCACACACACACAGAAATTGGGGCCTTGTGAACCAAGGCCACATGACAAGGTAGGGAGACAGTCGCACAGCCGCCAACTGCAAATGGGCATATGCGCTTCGCAATTTATGCAATTTTACGGCAGAAAGAGCTCTTTTCTCCCAGTGAAAATAATGGCAAGATCAACATTCGCATCTCAGTACACTGTGTTGTCTGTTTTTGAATTGCTTGAGTGCATTTTATTGCTTATCGTATTGTTTCTGTCGGGCGAAGCCGCTCGTTATCTCCGCCATCTACTCTACTTCTAGTGGAACCGGCAAGAACTGGTTCTAGAGCTCTGATCACCAGCAGCGCATTTCGTCTTAATGCTAAGTGCGATCTTCAACATTCGGATTGACAAGACCATCGATATTCTCTCGGCAGCGCCTATACACCGGTGATCGTTCTTTGTTGTGGGCATACATGTGAGCACGAGTTTCGACGGACCGTCTTCCATTACCTGTGAGTTACAAGAAGAGGACCTCTTGATCATCGGAGACAGGTGTTCTTGCTACGCATTATACGTTTTGTAATGATCCGATAAGTTTGAACGGTGTTCAACTGTAGGCTAGGAATGTCCGATGTGTCCAGAGTGCAATCTACAGTGATCGGCCCGAAAGGCCCTGTACAGCTGTCTTTGTAAGTGTTTTTTTTAGCATAATAGACCGCGAGAAACATTCTGATTAATCAATTTTGTGGTCGAAATCATTTTTTTTTAGATAGAGTTGACTTCTGGGCGGGAGATGTGTGCTGTAGTAAAGTCCTCTCAGTATGTGCATCGCCGAATACTATAGAAACTTTGAGCAGTCGTTATTTGCCAAGACTTAATTTGTTGGGTGGGAGTGGAGTGTCAGTTTCTCACCCCACTATGTGAGCGTATTTGCCAGTAGTTGTCTTCGTTAGACACGCTTTTTTATGTGTGGGATTTATTTTAAATTCTCGATTGATTGAAGTGTTATGTTCTGTTCAACTGTCATGTTCCTTTCGTATAAAACAGGTTACTTATTAGAGTATTAATTTAGTAGTACATTTTACACTGGTGAACTGAAAAGAGAGGTCAGCTGTTTGATTTATAACTTGTAAATAATATGGAGGCAACAAGGGGCACATCTTTAACTGCATATTTTTGTACTGCAAATGCGGCGAGACTTAAATCAGGTTTTTTTTTATGTCAACGTGGAAATATAGATGTGAACTTAAATGGGGAAATTGAAATTAAAGGGGCACTGACACCCCAAAGGTCGTATTTTTTTTATTGTCTACAACGATGCAAGTTGCAGTCATAAACACGAAAAAAAAAAAACGCATCGCGAAATAAAAATTTACCCGCACGCGCGCGCGCCTTTTTATTTTTGGCGTTTGATTCTCCCGCCTCTCGCCTCCTCGCTTCTTTGGAATCGTGATGTCAAGAATCATGAAATTTAGAAGCTTTGTAGGCGAAATTTTTATAATATTTAATAACGGCAATCGTAAAACATGTTTTTTAACGCAATTGCGAACGCACTACGGCCCTTCTTCTTGAAATACCAAAAATCGGAGTCCGTTGTAGTGCCGTCTCCTGGACTTGTATCCTCCCACGGAAAACAGGCGACACCGCTCAAAACCGGTCCGCCGGCGCTAGCTCCTTTCCTCCTCGCTTTGGGTCGCCATGGCAACAGCAGGGAGTCATGAAAGAAAGTGGACTCTCAGGACTCCGCGATATTTGACGTCAACGCACCAGCGCGGATCGCGCGGGAACTTCGAATTCGGCATTTGGAAATTGTTTTTTTTACTTCTCAAGTGCTGAATTCCCAAATTTCGAATCTTGAGGGTAATGTCCCGGCATTGTTTTCAATCGTTTCGAATAATAAAAAAAATATTTTTGATGTGTCAGTGCCCCTTTAAGAGGTCTTAGGCTAGATGACAGGTTTAGCGGCCCTAGGAGTTTGCAAGTGTAGGGCAAAGAAATCGTTGAATTAACCTTCCGACTATTCGATTAATTTATTTATCCACTATCAATATTTTAATCTGGATCAGTTGAGTTTTGAGTTAGGACAAGTCCGGTCAACAAAACAACAGTAAACGCCTGGGCCGGCTTCCTAGAAACAGCGTCTCAGCTGAGACTGGGATAAAAAAAAAGCACAGCCAAAGCCAGCGCACGAACTGACCGGCGCTCAAACCGCGTCTCAAGATGCTCGCCCCCCGCACTCGCCCCCCCCCCCCCCCCCCCCCCCCCCCCCCAGCCTTTGCAGTGCTTTCTTTCACCCAGTCTCAGTGAGACGCTCTTCTGGCAGCCGGCACAGGGCCGGCTTGCTAGAATAAACGTTGTAGCTTAAACTGTGTGAAAAAAAGTCCTGCCAAGCCTGGTGCGCGCGAGCGCTTGAGACTCGGCTTCAGGTGCCACTGCGCTCGTGCGCTGGCTTCTGCAGTGCCCTATAGCCTCCTTTACCGCTCATTCACACTGGAAGCGGATCCGCGTTCGCAAAGCGGTTGCGAACGTGGTTGTATTGGCGACGTGCGCGACCGAAAGCGTCGCTGTGGTCGGCCTTCCACGATTGGCCCAAAAGCTGACTATGACGTCGGAAAGGGTATACCATCGACGGAAATAAGAGGAATGAAAGAACTCTAATTTCTACGGTTTTGGCAGTGTTGCTTTGAGAGCGCAATGATTTCAGCCTTCCACCATGCTATTTACAGACACCATCGAACTTGTTGTTCGCAAGCTAATGACGTCACAAGGGGGAACCATAGGAGGGCGCCACCAAAACATCTCGCTGCTATGGATCCAGTGCAATTGCACGCGCACTTGATGACATCAAGTGCGCGTGCAATTGTACTGAATCTTTATACAGCCGCGTTCTTAACCGCTTTGCGAACGCGGATCCGCTTCCAGTGTGAATGAGCGGTTGTACTCACAAAGCCTGGCAGTTTGACAACGGAGCCATAGAGTGCCCGATCGCAGATTTATAGCACGAGGATCTGGTAGCACAGAGCATCAAGGAGCCATTTCTCGGGGAACCTGGGACGTCAGCGCACAGCTCTCGCAGCGGCGAGGATCCGAAAACGCACTTGTTCGCTCGGGAGAAGTGTGTTTTGGGCGTCTCGCCGCAGCGGGCTGCCAGTCAAGCGGCTCTCCTCTCATCCGTTGTCTGCCGCTCCACCTTTTTCAATTTCGGCGGCCGCTTCTCGTGGCAATCGATCAGGCTTTGTCAGTACATAGGAGGCTAAGGCAGTGCTTATTCTTTCATACAGCCTCAGCTAAGACGGTGGTTCTAGCAAGTCGGCCAAAGTGTCTTACCTGCGCATCTATTTATTTTTAAAGGCAGTACTGTTTTCTCTTAGAACGCTCAAAGTTTATAATGTACAATATAACGAAGAAATATTTTGCTGAAAAAGAAAGCTTTTCTAAGTTCTAGTTTTTATCGGTGGAGCGCCATTATATAAAAATTTTTTCTCAAAAGCTGTTTTTGTTTTTGTTTTTGTTTTTTTCCCCTCCCGGCGAGAGTTTGGAGCCTGCTGTTCTTGTGGCTGCACCTCCTACTCCCTCCCCCACCGCTTTGCTTCAGTTAGATTTTCCGATATTGTATGAGTTCTTTCCCCAGGGTCAGGTTTACGGGGGGGGGGGGGGGGGGGGGCGGGGGGGAGGGGACGCCTGCGTCGGGGGGTACCATGAACTCTTGAGAGAAACCAGATGTTTGGAATACCACGTGACGTAGTCAAGGAGCGTCAATCTGACATCTCATGTACCAGTCTCGAAAAAGGCCTGGCTCAGGCCGAAACGTCGACCTATATAAAATAAAACTCTACAAAAAGCCTTCGAGGTACGTTTACTTTCCTATATATATATATATATATATAAACTTCGGTGGGCCTTTTGGAGAGTTTATATTTGGAGGAGGACTGAAGCGATTGATCGATTTGTGAAATAAAGGGCGACGAATGATAAAGCGATTTTTTACTTTGATATTCATTATTGACACGCGTAAGAAAAAAACTGACAGGGACTGAAGATAAAAAGCAAAGGAATATTTCGAAATGACAGTAGTACAGGGCGGTCTAGTCGGAACTTGTTGAGATGTGTCCCCTTAAACCCTTCACCTGAATTCAGGCCCACTCTTCTGTTTCTTTCAGAACGCTGTGCCCAGCCCCGTTCGTGGAATCCCATCAAGTACCTGCCCGGCTCACAGCTTCCAGTGATGGATCCTGGTATTAATTTTTGTTTTAATTTTTCTTAGTCGAAATTCTTAACAAAATGTGTATCATATCTTCATGCAGGTAAATTATATTTACCTGCATAAAATGTTGATTTAAGATGTTCCGTAGTGAATGTAGCTGGCCCACCGCAGCTCTCTGTTCAGATGCCTTTATAGCGTTCAGTAACATGGCCGCTAGAATGGCTGCCGAAAATAGTAGAGTCTGCGGTTGAAATCGGATGCCGAAAGCTGGGATCCAATATTTGATAAGCCAATGATTAAACATGAATTCCAATATTGGTTCGAAGACCCACAACTAACGGTGGCCCAATGATGGCTTAGGTATTGGTGTAATTGTGGCCCAACATTGGCTAAAATTTTGGTTAAAAAACGGTCCAACGATGGCATAAGTGATGGTCCAATGTTTGTTTAAATATTGGTTGAATCGTGGTTCAACATTGGCAGTAGTGAATGGCCTAACACGGGATCGGGTAGCGCTTTCGAGAAAGCCAACGTTAAGCCAATATTGAAGCCAATTTTTCCCTGTGCTGGGCCGAGGTTGGTTCAAGAATGGTGTGCTGTTTGGGACAATTTTAAAAAAAAGCTTGACATTTCTTGCCATCAAAATAGCATGCGCCTACCGATATACAGCGGCCGGGGATCTACGCTGGAATTCGCGAGCAACGAGTAGACGTGCAGACCACGCAATGTAGTTGTCAGGGAGCGAAGCGCGAGAATGGCAATGGCTTTTTTTTTTCTTTAATGTGAAAACTCAACCCCCCGCCCGATACTTCCCCGCCCTCTTACGCATTCATACAAGCTGTGCGATTGTGTGGTCAGTACTGTATGATCGCTGCTCATCCATTTGAGCCCATATCATCGACCAGTGTACGACGATCAACCTCATTACTGACTAAAATGTCTAAATTAAGTTTAATGATTTGTGTCCAAAGTGAACGCCTATAACAGTACGTATAGCGGACACAAAACACGGAATAAGGTAGAATACACACACAGGGGCTAACTTGCAACAGAAGTATGTATTGTCAGATTTGTAGAATATATAACAAAAGCAATTTACATAAAAAGTAATAAAAAGCACAGTGGAGCACTTGCAAACCTCACCCCAGAATTCAAAGGGTATAGCCATGCAGTGTGCGATGAATTATTTATAAAAGTGTAGCTGCCCGGAGTTCGCACACGGAAGAATGTCTGCGAAAGCAGCTATCTTTACGAGATACGTTTCAGCGGCTGGGCGGTGCTTGCATTTACTCGCAAGCGGAAACCCCCATATCACATTCATAGACTTTTAGGATCGTAACGCACGGCCGCTACCTTAGTAGCATTTGTCGGTGTTACTTGCCTAAATAAAACGGCAACTAGACACGCCAAACTTGCCTTGTCTACGCCGTTGTGACCGAAGAGACTGCTCTGCTTTGAAGCGGAAGTTCGAGAGCTGCGTATGCCGACGTCTGTATCCGCTCCCATTCTGATAACGCCGCAGCAACTGCTTCGGTGGCCGCCTAGGGAAGCTTTATTTTTTTGTTATTTATTCGGCCTTGAGCCCCTAGATACGGCTAGAGTACGACATTTTCTTTACCCCGCACGCTGTCGCGAAGTGGGCCGTCGTACTGGACAACATCGTTCTAAACATTGGTCTCATTTCTTTGACATATACGCGTTACCTGGTGATCCACAGCCTTCGAGCAGCTTGCCCGAATGTTAATTTATCCCTCGTGATTTTTACCGCGAGGCTTCGAAGCGTAATTGGTCACCCCAGCGGCGCTCCGCGCTGATAAAAGGCCGACCAGAAGTATGCGCGGGGCTTTTTGTGCCGGGGCCCGCGACGTGAACACTTAATAAATGACTACGTGTTGTTGAACGAGCGCCTCGTGTCATTCTGCGAGGAGGAGTGCACGAAAGGAAATCCTACACTGGCGACCAACGTGGGGCGCCAGTGCAGGATTTAGCTCACTGCTGCCCGCCTCGAAGAATGACACGACCCCCTCGTTCAACAACATCTCGTCGCTTATTGACTGTTCCAACGAAGTATGGGGCATATAGAGCGATAAACTGGCAGCTGAAAGTGACCCCCAATTCGCCGCCGCCATGTTGCACATTTTTGGCCACTAGACATGTGACCTTAAAGTTTTACGTCTAGATTTTAACGAAGTACCGCGCACAGATAATGGCTTAATGATCTTTAATAACAGTACCGACGAGATAAGTTATGTTTATGGAGTTTTAAGTCCAAAATGTGCTTTTACAATAAAGACTCGGGCAGCTTCGCAATGGCTGCGCTAGATGCCGTCAGCCGCGGTGCTGTATTTTGTGTTTTTATCGGAGCTAGACACTGATCTCTGGGGCTGACAGTATTAAAAAAATAATTCATGTTTTTTTTTTTTTTTTTTTTTTTTTTTTACAGCGATCAAAATATAAATATCGGCTGAGGTTTGCGTAAAAGCCTGAGTATTTGGTACGGTCACGTGTCTATTGTTCTAAATTGTAGAACATGGCTGCAGTGATGGGGGTCACTTTTGCCTCGTGACCGAGATACCGGTTTATCGCTATAAGCCCATCTACCTCATTGGACTGTTCGCGCAGAAATAAAAAAAAGCGTAATCACTCATATCTTGTGAACAGGTCAAGAAGGAATTCAATTTAAATGAGACGACGTGAGCAATTTTTGTAAGTGTTGAACTTGTGCAACCTTATTCCTGTGATTTGATCACACATTTGCCCATGTACAATATTGGGATGGCTCCATTATGTTTTCTCCCATATACGCATACAAGAATTTGTATAGAAGTGTTTGAATGTGCGAAACATTTACGACACTTAACTTAAACGCCTCATGAGGACTAGAAAAGTAAATAAAATACCATTCTGAATGCTGAAGAATACTTTCTGAGAATATCACGACAGAGTTGTTTCAAAACAATTTAGTTAAGTTGTTTGATTTCTTTCTTTAATTGTGTGTCCAGAGTAGTAGACGTAGGGTTATATTGATTAAAACTATAGAAATTAAATTTCGCTAGAAACTCGGAAAAATATCGATTATTTATTCCAAAGTTTCCAGCTCTGTTGAATAGGAGCTTTCAATGATGACAATTTGGTATGGTTAATTGAAATAGACTACGCTGACTCTAACATTCTCCACCCTCTCCAGCTTTCTCAGTAATAAAGGTGATGATCTGCGCATAGTTTTGTGAATAATGTAATAGTAACATACGTAGTAACGGCAGTGACTTCTGTAGATTTTTTGTCACACGCGCTGACGCAACTGCTGCATCAACTTCTGAAACTTATATTTTAAAGAACCACAGAGAATACATTATCCTGTTACTGGTTTAAAGTATGCCCTCGGGCCTCATGAAATTCAAGAAATGAATGCCACTCAGTTGTAAAGTGTACATATCTTTCGTTTTTTTTAATTAAAAATTGATGAAGGAATCTTTGAGATCTGTGTTTATAGATGACCATAGTGACCTGTAATTTTACTGATGATTTTTAGTCTCGGCTTTTTTCTCATTACCGGCCAACTACGTTGTGCAATTTAAACTTAAATTATTTTTTAGAACGTCAGGAATTCAGCCTTAAACACCGTTGCCAAGAGTGAGGTCAAGGTAAGTATCTGAGTTACTTGGATTGTCTCAGGACGGCAATCTTGACCAAGCCATTAGTTGAACGATTAGATGGCGGCGCCGATCCGTGTGGCCGAAAAACTGTGGTATGGAACGCGACACTGATGTTCCTCCTCCATTCCTAATTGCCTCCTTTCTGCTGCTCTTATGCGCACGTTGTGAGTTCACCAAGTTATTCGCCCATGTCACGTGGTGCCAGTGCTGTTCAGTTTGCACAGCTGCTAAGCAAGCCCATCTAGCCCAGCCAGCCTGTTCATCTATCGGAAAGTGCCAAGCTGGGCAGGTTTTATTCTCTGATATAGGCTTCTGATCAGTGACCCAGTGATTGCCTCAAGCCCTAATGAAGAATATCGCCCAGTAATTAAAGATCTTGCGGCTTGCCTCATACCCATTTAGTGGATTAAAAGAAATATTTGCTCGAAATAAACGTTCAGGAGAATTTTTTTTCACGACACGGGACAACAAGGACGTTGGCTAGAAAAAAAGGAACGCTTGATGTTCGATTTATCTGGTTAATAATTAATAATCGCAAAGCGACTGTATGATAAGTCTTCACGACTCAAAAGTGGTAGCAGTTATATCTGAAAAAAGCTTGCTTAAAATACTCAGAACAACGATGTTAGTTGAATAAGATGACCAGGGTATGAAGAGCAGTACCAACCTAGGGGTGGGCGATCTAGACTGTCACCCAGGCAGCCATCAATATGGGGCTGCCGCAGGGCGCCCTCGTCCTTTTTTAAATTTTCTTCGCTTTTCTATTTATTCCAATACAGCGTCCGACACGACGCTATATGCTCGATCGCCAGTCGTTTCTGCAACGCTGTTCTCATGTAACAAAACACTCGTGTTTGGTCACTGCTCACATGTTTACTAACCAACGTGATGTCGTGTCTAGTAGATAGGGGCGTATAAAAAGGGAAAGGGAGGGGGCGCCATGGTCGGAGTCTGACCAGGGCGCTTGATGGTGTATAGCCGGCCCTGAGAGAGCGCTTACAAATGTGGTACTGCCCAACTGACTGGAGAGATTTGTTTGACGCGATGCTTTATCAAACACAATTTAAACGAACTGTTTAAATATACTTGTTTTTCTATTCGTAATGCAACCATTTGCTTTAACTCTGTCAGCCACGCGACCCCATTAGCACAAGCATAACGTCGGCGCAGTTTTTTTTTCATTTACTCTGACAGGCATCAAAGCTTAGCACTTAAAGTGGCGGTGCACCAATTTTCGTACTCTCATTTAATACCGCTTAGACTTAATCTTCAATGTTTATGAGCTAGGAATTACGAGTTACTTTTTTTTTCTTCTCCACATTGGTGCAATCGCAAAAAAAAGAACAGAAGACTAACGGTCTTTGTTTCACCTTATGTCCAGACGCTGCCGACGCTACGACCTGATGGAACTAATCAGACAGCGTCAAAACAGTACCATCATAGTGGTGTTCGGTGTTCGTCAAGTTTCTGTGCGCGTTGTACCATCACTTAACTAATCATAGACAAACAAAAAAATCACTTGCGCGTTTGACTCTGCTTGATAAGTCCCAATACCTCGTAGGGTCGAGTGCGCCTGGACTTTGGCTGAAACGAAGTATAGCGGTGCTTTGCTCCTTGACTCGCAGCTGAAACAAGTGGCCACGTGACCTTCACATTTGACACGGAACACTGCCAGATTCATTGTCGAGGCATTGGTCGTCACAAGTTTAATACTTGTGTTCACGCAGTGGTCGTGTCCACGACCACTGCGTGAACACGACCAATGAGTTATATTGAAATATCATCATCAATTGCTAATCCCCTTGCCCACGACAACAATGAGACCCCGTCAGTACGTCATCGAGTTTTCTGAAGGACAGACTGAATCAAAATGTTGTTTTATACCGATATTGCGCGACGACAATAGCGGGTCTTGTTCAGTGGTGCTGAGTGCGGGTATACTTGGGTGATAGAGTGCCACTAATTTTTGTAAAGTAAGAAACATTCACGCCCAATATCGTTGCACGACCCCATTAGGTTGGTGCCCCGAGTGAGTTCTTTGGATTGCATCAAATGTTTGTATGAAAGTCTTAAATTTTGAAAAGTAAAAGTAACAAAAAGTAGGCGGCAGTGTCATTTTATTAACTGTGTGTTTTGTATTTTAAATAACTTCCTTACTCATTCGTGACGCTACACCGCTTAAAGAAATAAGCTAAGTGTATTCCGAATTTAGGAGCGAGAATTAACTAGAGGCAGAATTATGCATAGTGCGTTTCATGGTGGGAAAATAAAAATAGATATGGTACATAATGTGCGCATGATCATATTCAGGCGCATTAATTTCGGCGGAGTATAGCATATATACCGTGCGTCCACGAGACACACGTACCCTGTTTTTCGCCGCGCAAAAATAAACTATCTCGGAGAGCTCAAACTATGTCAGAACGTAGCCCCAGCCGTTCGAGGAAGATGCCGAAGTTTTAAAACTTACCAGTACCGGAATAAAAAGTTAGAAGTAAAAAACTGCTTTAGTCTTTGAGAGGACGCCGTAAGTGAGAAGCAGCAGGAGGAATGCTGGTTTCCGACCGCATCTCACAGATGGCTCCACTTGTCCTCGAGGCTTCCCACGCTCCCTCGCTCGCCTAACGTGCGCGGCTGGCGGCAAACTTACAATACCTGACAAAGGTATCGTATGTTTGTACCGCTAAATTTAACGGGGAAACTGAATGCGTAGAGTTTCATTATGGAACGTCACAGTCCTACACACCAATTCAATTTTCCCGCTAAATTTATCGGGGAATTGAATTGGTGTTGAGATCACGTGACGTCAATTTTCCCGCTAAATATAACGAAGAAACTGAATTTGTTTATTAGTGACGGGACACGAAGTCATGTGGCGTCCTTTTTCCCCTAAATTCAGCGGAGTAATTGAATTGATGTTGAGGGCACGTGGAGTCAATTTTCCATCTAAATTTAGCGGGGAATCTGTGGGAGGAGGGGAGGGTACGGAGGAAAGGGTACGCGGAAGGACAAGGGCACGGAAGAAAAGGAGGGTGCAGAACCAGTATGTGGGGGGAATGATCTATATTTGTACACATATATTTATATTTCTTTCTCAAATTGTTTACCACGGTATATCGCAAAATGAAAATACCTCAAGAGATGCGCTCTAATTTCGTATTACAAAGATTTTGTAAACGTCTTTCATTTTTTCTTTCGCTTACACACTGCTAGCTTGCAAGTGAAAATCTGGTTGGGAGAAGGGGATTCATTTGTTCCTGGAGGGATCAACTGCCTATTGTGTGAGGAACCTGAAACGAAAGAGGATCCCTTTTTGTATTGTTAGGATACGATATTTCTGTGGGATATCCTGAAAGGGACTATAAAAATGTTTGTATAACAGCATACTGGATACGTTTTCTTCCTGTCAAACAGCATGATTGTGTTGTACAATTGAATTATGCTTCTTGCGTTGTTTAGTATGTGCAAGTCCCGTTTGCCTATGACACTCGCTGAACGCAGGGGCGGATCCAAGGGGGAGGGGGGGGGGGGGGGGAGTGACGGGGGCGGCCCAAACAAAGTCGAATCCCCCCGAAACAAATCCTACCACCGGCCTGCCAGGTGGTAGAAGGCTCGGTACTCAAGCGCGAGGGTTCAAAATAGGGCAGGTCGCACCAGCAGGCACACTTGTACTCTGAACTTAGAGAACCACTACGTCGCTTCAACCGAGACTGATGTCCGCGGCGTCGGTTTCAAAGCACGGCTTGGAGCCATTAACTCGGCGCAGCAGCGCACATCTAGGGGCCGTCGGCGGAGTGTGGTTCTGCGGCGGCTAAAACAAAAGGCACAACCAGGGTCCTGTTTATCTTACTTTAGATCCCCCCCCCCCCACACACACACACGCACACGAATCACCCCCCCCCCCCCCAAACCGGAGTTCTGGATCCGCCCCTGGCTGAACAACCACCAAAGTCAGCACGTAACCTCTTTATTGAGATGATTTCACAAATCAACAATATGTCTATGTACAACCAGGCTATGCTCGATTGAGCAAATGTGTTGGAAAGCATGTCTGAAAAGAACCAATTTTAATCTGACAGCTACGCCCGAAAGCACCGGGTAGCGTACGTTTAATTGTGCACTCGTAAATACGTGCTGATAAAAAAAAAAAAAGAAGAGCTGTGGCCTAGCTCAGTGGTAACGCCTCAGCTCCACACGCAGCGGACCCAGATTTGATTCCCGCGGGTGGCGGGCGATCTCCTTACAGAATTTGGCAGCTTCAACAAGGAACACCCTACGTCGCAAACTAAAGCCCCAGCAACGGCAGCAGCAACAACGACATCAGCAAAGACAGCATCACCAACGACCGCATCAACAACTACATCATCAACGACTACAGCATTAACAAGCACAGCATCAACAACTACAGCATCAACAACTACAGCATCAACAACTACAGCATCAACAACCACAGCATCAACAACTACATCATCAACAACTATATCATCAAGAACTACATCATCAACCACTACAGCATCAACCACTACAGCATCAACAATGACAGCGTCAACAACGACAGCATCAACACCGACAGCATCTACAACCAAAACATCAAATACTAAATTACGGCTAGTGCGCAGGCGAGCTGGTGGAAGTTTACCATGATGGTATTAACTCGAGACTGGGCAAGAAGAAGGAAATGTTTTTTTTATTTTTTTTCTCAGTGGAAGACAAAGGAACAGGAACAGACAGTGTGAAGATGCGGTCTGTCCTTGTTACTTTCTCTTCCACTAAAAGAAAGATGTATTTCTTCTACTCAAGTCTCAGGTTAATATCTTCATGGTAATCAAATACTATAACATCAACAGCGGACGTCATTTTCAGTGGTGTAAATAACCCATAGCAGCTATCGGTTAAAAACCTTTTTGCATAGACCTCCTAGCAAAACACGTAAACTGTTACGCTCAGTGTCACACCATAAACTGTTCTTTAGGCATAAACATAATTTCAAGCAAGTCATTCGCCGAGTTCTCTTTGTAGACTACGGCGATTGGCTCTCCCAAGTGCGCTGCCGGAAAGGGTACACACCAGATTTATTTTAGTGCGTGTGCAGCATGGTAGCAGATGTAGCGAGGGGATAGTTCGTTAATGCGAAACAGACAAATCCGGAAACACTTTATAACAAGTCGTGCGCCGATGATTTTTGGTAGAGGAATATATTACGCGTCAGCTGGAAAGAGATGGGTAGACCTTTTGAACATGCGTAGAGAACGACGCAAGAAAAAAGAAAAAAATAGGCGAACGCGAGCGAGTGACCGTTTTCCTTCTCTGCAATGTTTCCGCGACTCTGCCGTATTCAATGTATAAAATGGTGTGCAACCTTGCATTGAATTGGCACTCTTGTCGATGGGATGAACTAGTAGGTGTTCTTCTGAGAGGTTGTTCAATGAAGCAGCATCTCATCTTCTTCCTTCATTAAAGCAACGGCCAGTTTGGCGTATCCATCATCTACCGCAGGATAATGAGATGTTGAATATAACTGCCCTTTCCCATGCAGCACATATCGTTTTGTGAGCGTTACTACATACTTCTATTTTGTTGCTTGCTTCTAAGTTTAAGTGCGGCACATGCCTTGCGGTTTACCCCAGCGGCACGGAGGCAGACCACATATATCTCGAAATATACAATATCATGCAGATTTAACCTCTTCGGCAGATGTGTAAGCTCGAGGGAGAGTTTTGAGATTTCACTTGTACTCTCCACTTATTTTTCGATCATACGAAAACGGGGCGTGGACACGTATGGTAGCGTTGATCCTCCGGACTGAAACGTGACTGTTGTATTAATTGCGACATTAAAAAAAATGTATATATATATATATATATATATATATATATATATATATATATATATATATATATATATAATTTGAAAACCCAAAGCGCATGCAGTTCCGTAGCAAATCATAGTAATGTTCATTATTTGATTAGTTTCACAGCATATTTTGCGATAAATTTAAAATTCATCAGACTAGCTGTTCACTACCTGTTCAGTTTTGTGAAGCGGCAATACCTGTTCACAAAACTGGTGATCGCCAACTAATAAGTAATTACCGTCCCATCTCTCTCACCAGTGTTCCATCTAAGCTCATGGAGCATATACTTTACTCAAATATAATAAACTTTCTTGACTCTCATAACCTTCTTTTTGAACATCAGCACGGATTTCGTAAATCTTACTCTTGTGAAACCCAGCTAACCGCCTTCTTTACTGATATTTATTCAAGTTTCGATTTGAATATTCGGACCGACGCTATTTTCATTGACTTCTCCAAAGCATTCGACAAAGTACCCCACCAACGTCTTTTAACAAAGCTTAACGATATTAATATTTATCCCTCTGTTATTAAGTGGATTTCTGAATTCCTAATTAACCGTAAGCAATATTCCTCCGTTAACAAATTAAAATCTCCCACCTCTACCGTAACGTCAGAAGCCCCCAGGGAACCGTACTTGGCCCCCTTCTGTTCCTAATCTATAGTGATAATCTCCACCTTAATATCGCTTCTTCTGTGCGCCTGTTCGGCGACGATTGTGTCATTTACCGACGCATTCTTTCATACCATGATCATCATGCTCTTCAGGAAGACCTAGAGTCTGTAATCCATTATGTGTGAAAAATGGCAGATGTCGTTAAACTCCAATAAATGTAGATCCCTATCATTTTCCCGCAGTTCGCGTCGCACACCATTTTCGTATTACCTCCCTAACACTAAAGTAATAGCATGCTTATCTTATAAATACCTGGGTGTTCATCTCACCTCTGACCTATCCATAGACTACTCATATAACTTCTGTTATTTTTGACACTAACCGTTCTCTCTGATATTTGCGCCGCAACCTCAAACTTGCTACACCCTCCGTAAAACGATTAGCGTATACAACTATTATTATACCGCAGTTAGAATACGCCTCATCTATATGGTCCCCATGGCAGTCCTACCTTGCAAATAATCTGAAGTACGTCCAAAACAGAGCCCTTTGTTTTATTTATAACATCTACTCATTATATACCTGCATCCCAGGATTACGGCAATCAGCTAACCTTCATTCACTTTCCCTTCACCGCCGAGTATCACGCCTTTCTCTCCTCCACCGAATTTGTTTGTCACAATAGCCACCTCAAAGAATCACTGCTATCACCTCCCCATCGTATTTCCCCGCGTCTAGATCACCTATGTAAATTACGTCCAATTTGATAATCAACTGTTTCTCACCAGACTTCCACACTACCATTGGCCATCGAAGATTGGAATTCACTACCTCATAAAGTCGTTTCTATTAATGATACTATTAAATGTGTTCAACCGATTACCCTCTTTTTATCTAATCTACTTAGCTAGCTTACAGTGTTATAATTGTGTTTACTGTTCCATTTGTTTTTGTTTTATTGCCACCCCCTTGTATAATGCACCACGGGCCCTCAAGGAAAATAAATGATGATGATGATGATGATGACTAAACGCGTTGGTGACAGAGGAGCCCGAGCTGTCTTCGTTTAAGTAATGGTTTTAGTGTCCAGAGAATGGCTACGAACAAACTTGCAGCCGACAGGGTATAAAAGAGACCGTCGTAGATTCCACTGTTGTCTCGAAAATAACCTGAAAGAGAGAAACAAACAGGGATGATTTGAAATAGAAGCACTTGAGTTGACTGTGCGAAACGTTTAGCGCGAACAAGACTTGGGCTCATTTTTATGTTCCACCTAGATGTATTACTAACACCTAATCTGCGGCTTATGATGTTCTTCAGGGTCGTTATAAAACTTCACCATAAACCTTCAGTTGTGAGAGAAACAAGACATATTCGCAATCGTTTCTTCGCTCTAACATGGTCGCGCAGTGCACTACATTTAGACAAATGGGGCGTCAGAAGTATGCAGCTACCGTATACTCATTCATTGTCTTTACCTTTTTAAACCGACAAGGTATGCTAACCATTTAATTGGTCACTCATAGTAAAATGGCTTAATATGCCCTTGTAATGTTTTTTTTGTGATGATTTTTTTAATGCTTTTGGTGCATGATTATCAGGAAAAGATTAAGCGCCAGCGAAGACGGAAAGGTCTTTGCTTTCTGTTTAACAGTTTTCTTGGCTTCTTGCGGCATCCTAGTTTTCGATTCCACCTATCGAAATTTTCACGATTTCATCAGACCATACATACAAGCGCTTCAATAAAAAGACATGATAGCTACCCATATATTGCTGATTATGGTCACGTTAGCAATGTTGTCTCATTCCTAATCATAGGTTAATTCTACAGGTGCGAATAGACTACTACATGTACGGGTTTCTACAAGTCAAGTAATCGTAGGTGAGACAGAACTGCCAACTAGAACAGTAATCAAATACTCAGCGATTAGCGACTAAACATACATCTAATATCAATTATGACAGGAATAGAAACGGTACCATGATACTAGTGTGTTAATATTCTCATCGTCAATTCATAACACTTTAGTCTATTAATATAATTATAATATTTTAATCACGTTAAACAAATTCGACTATAATTACCGGCAGGTTAATAAACTCACGGCCCGGCTGCTTGTGTTCATGCTTGCCGCTTCGGGATTTGTGTTTCGCCGTTCTTATTGGCTAATGCCGCAATTTCTATGGTCAAGGAGCGACAACAACCTGCTCGGGACTCTCAACAAGCTGAATTTCTTAAGCAGCAGCGACTGTACCAGGAATTGGTTTTAATGATGAGTGCCACATAGTTCTACGCAATTTTGCGTTCTTATATTAAATTACCCAGGCACCAAAGAGCATGCAGCGAGTGTATTTTACGGTCTGGGAAGAATGGTGTCTGCAAAAGTAACTGCTGTAAAGGAAACACCTGAAACAAATGTCACCGTTCGCGTGATTTCCCAGCGTCCTTTTTTTGCGTGCTTAATTCTACTGTTTCATAAATGTGAAGGCAGCTCTTTTAGCAAGTCAACCTACGTTGCGAGCGGTTTGCTTGGTGCGAGGGTAGTTTGGCATATTGTGTATGCCGCTTTAATAAATATTTATAGTCTCAAATATATTTGGAAGTGGGATACATTTAAAGCTCAGTTTCAAAGCTGATATAACCCCGGGGACCCTCAAAGAAATTGGTTAAATATTTTTCTTATTATACATCATTCAGAGTTTCCGAGTAGGTGTTCGAACTGGATAATGCTGCGTCAATCATAACCTTTTGGGGGATGGGAATGCCATGACATACCCGGATTCCTAACAGAGTTGAAGCTAGGAATGAAACCCCGCTATTCGATTCAAAGAGATATTCGATATTCACATTCCTTTATATACCTTTCTTACGTGGGCGCCGCCATCTTGAATCTTCTCATTTCCAGTATAGTCTAAAGCATTTTGCCGTATCCGCACTAACATAACACATTCAGGGTATAACCGTAACCGCCAACCGTACTCGTTTCGCCTCACCTCTATTTTTTTATATTTACATGTTGAAATATTTTGTTATTTTCTTGTCACCCATCCCGCGTAGGTCTACCAGGTGGCCGGGGACGAGAGTACGAGAAAAAAGCTATATAAGCCACTAATTAGGCTAAAGAACGGATTCTTACCAACAAGTGAAGGCAAAGTCGTCATCGCCAGGCCGTCAATGAAGAGTACACCACCAAGCATGATAGGAATAGGCTGGTCCGGGAAGTCTTTTACCAGCATTGGGGATGGCACAGCGATTACAAAGCCTTGATTGAGGCCCAAGAGCAGGGAACACAGTAGGAGGAAGGCCAACTTTCTAGAAAAGGCCATGAAGATACACGCAAGAGAGGTACCCAGAAAACTCAACAGAAAGGCGGACCGTAGTGTCAGATAACCCCTGTCCACGATGTGAGCTCCGAGAAGGCGCATGAGGAAGCTCGTAGAAGAATAAGCGTGAAGGAGATACACTGCTTGGCTCCCGTCTATGCCTCTGTCTCGAGCCATGTCGATGTGCACTAAAATGAAAGCGCTATTTGTGTAGTCGATAAGTGTCCAGCCAATTGCGTCTATGTGAAATATGGGCGAGAGAAACACACTTAATACGCCTTTGAAGAAGACGCTAGAGCTAGTGGAAGCTGCAGTCATTTGCGTATCTTTGGGATATAAGTCTCGCCCCGAAGGATCTATTATATTTTTTTCTCTGGGAGACGGTACGATGTCCGGGCAATTTCTTATCTCCTGCTCGTTGATTAGGGCTTCTTCGACGTTGAGTAGTTTGTAGTTTTTTAGGTTTATACTTTCATTGAATTTTGTTGTTGACACCGCCTCAAGCGATCCTTCTCCCAGCTTCTCACAATCACCACCTGCTTTGAAAAATGCTTGGCGATTCATCCAAGGCGGACGTTTGAGGACGAAGGCACAAGGCAAAACGTTCAGTGTGAGGGCCCCAATGAATAGGAACATTTCGGGCGCGCCGTATTCGTTGAGGACATAGTTCGCCAGCTGAGGGGTAAAGTAAGTTCCCAGGGACCAGAGGGCCCAGGACAGGGAGCAGGCAGTGGTTCGCCACTTCACGAAGCATTGGCAGCACAGGACATCCACGATGATAAAAATTCCGCATACAGTGCCACCTGAAAAGTCGATCGTGTGCTAAAATGTAGTAAAAGTAGCGAAGCACATGAAGCTTGTAACTGGAAAACGGTATTATAACACACTCAATGAAACAATGTTATATGTACCATCATTATGCGCCATATTAAAGTCTGTTTCAGTATAAATACTGCAGTACATGCACCGTCCGTAAAATGCAAGGCTCCACCAATGCCCAATGCGCCAAGGAGTTTTGTGCATTAGGTCAAGCTTTGATTTTGTGAGCTCGAATTAAAAAAAGAAAAAAAAAGGAGCTGGCAGGCACTCCTGCCTTTTTTATGACGCAAGAAAAATGGCGAATTTGTACTGAAAACATAGTGACAGAAATTGTCTCTGGGAATTTTGGGAGAAAGCCTATTCTGCAGTTCTAATGTTGCAAGACACTGGAGACAATTCTAGTAACCGTGTTCCGCGCTCTACTTCCTTTATCCGCAAGGGTGCTGGGCGCACTCTGAGTGCGAGAAGTAGACTTATTCGAAACTAGAATGCAGCGCGCGCATCCACAGCGCAATGAGTCGGCATTTATTTTTTACCTGGATGATAAGTGCTGGAAAGGTGCATAAGTACAAGGGTTGCTTCAAAAGTAATACCTTTTTTTGGGGGGTGAACGAATATTGCTTCAAATCGAATAGCGTCGCATCATTCCTAACTTCAACAGTGGAAAGCGAGCCGGTACACTGTAGCCTTTCTTTGCAGTGTAATGGCTATGAGTGATGCAGTGCTATTCGATTCCAGCAACTCTTCGCACAGCCCTACTCCTATTTTATTATGTTAGTTCAGGCCACTGATCTCTATGTATATTTGCTGGATTGCGTTTGGCCAGCTCCGCCTATGGACGGGAGTGCGGCCACGGTCGGCCATCTTTTTGGTAGAGTTATATCATCTCTAGCGATCATAGTAATATGACGGACAGCACAATGGCTGCAGGCTACCATAAAATAGCCGTGGATCTAGTTCACTGTACCGTGGGTGATATTTCGTGCTTGATTGAGGTTGTTCGAGGAAGCAAATTATTGAAGCCCGGCGTTAAAGGTAGCCTCACCTTTGAGGACTTCGCGAAAGTTCTACGAAAGCCCAGCACCGGTGGAAAGCAGCGCAGCTTGCATCGAAAGCAGACTACGCGTACCGGCGTCTGCTTTCGGTACTTCTTTCGATGGGACTTTCGACGCGTGCTGGGCTGCTTTTCCCCGGTGCTGCGATTTCATGAAACGTTCACCGGGTCCTCAAGGATCGGGCCACCGTTCACGCCAGGTTTCAAAATTATGTTTCGTCAAGCAATTTCAATCAAGCACGAAATTTCACCCACGCTATTTTGATGGCAGCCTGCCACCACAACTGCCACAACGCTGTCTGCCATGGATGGATGATAGTGGCTGCAGCAACTGTACCTTGTCTAGAGGTGATACAACTCTACCAAAACGATGGCTGCCAGTGGCCGCATTCGCGGGGCGGGCAAACGCGATCCAGCAATTGTCATAGAGATCAGTGGTTCAGGCCGATACAAGAGGACGGTGGTAGTACACAGACGGGGTTTACCCTTCTCGGCAATACTAAGTAAATGTCGTTACTTGCGGCCAATGGCAGTGCTGGGGCACTCTGACGAAATGGCATCTGACATTAACGTGCGCATAACACCAAAGTGTGCAATTGAATTCCTGCATGCTTGACGTTTACGGAAATCGCACATTTGATATGAAGTGACGGGCCGCTCGTCTTAGGACTGGCGACTGCGACGTGAAAGACAAGCCACGTTTAGGATGGCCATGTACAAGTGTCATACCGCAAAATAAAAGGGGACTCGACCAGCTCATCCGCTCGAATCGGCCTATTACTACCACAAAACTTTGTACCTTAGAATGCTACAGTGCGACGCAGACTGAGCTAAATGCCCGACCTGATAGGATCATGCAAGAGAGCAAGTAAAACGTAACACAATAACGCCAGGTTTTACACCAGTTCGAAGACCGCGCAGCACCTTGCCACTTGTGTTTGGGCTGTCCTGAAGCAATACCTATACAGCCAGGTTTCGGCACCTTATGACTTCTATCACTTCAGGACGACGAAAGATGAACCGCGTGGGAAACATAATTCTAGCCGCGATGCCGTCTTTTGTGCTTCGAAGCATTAGGTCTCCTCCATCAGTACAGACTTTAACCGGGGAGCGGTATGGAAGTTCTTGGTCATTGCTGGCGAAAATACATAGCCAATTATGGGGACTTGGTTAAAAGTAGGGTTTCGTAAATGTCATTATGCACTATGAAGTGTTTTTGCGCTGTCCGTGTTTCTTGCTGTATAAGAAAATGAATAGAAGGAGTTACTTTCAGAGTAATATTTTATATGGCTCAAACAAAGGTTCTTACCGTGAACAACGCCATAGAAAAAAATAACTAGGGACACACTCGTGCAGAAGTAACAGGCCATGATCCCAGAAGACGTCAACAATGTAGAGGTCACCAGGAGGATTTTCCACGACACCAGCTCGCACAAGAAGCCGAAGGCCGGGGCTGCATGAATATTTAAACATCAGGCAATATCTTTTCGATATTTCGTGCAAATGTTTAACCGTATTTCTTTAGTGATCCCGCACTCTGTCACTCGACCCCATGACTGGGGTCAATATTTATGAAACAAACACTTTTGTGCTGCGCTTTCAGAATGTGTAAAAAGAACACGTACTAAGTTACCAATTAATTGCATGATTTGTTTTTATACAGGACCGTTTTAAAAATGTGCGGTTGCTTGCTGAACTCATCCACGGATAAACCGAGTCATGTTTGTATCGTATGCCTAGATTTCAGTGTGTCTCCAACTACTCAATCGTGCTCTATGAGCTGCGTTTGTCTTCAAAAAACTACGCCTTTCTGCCAGCTCACTTGAAAACGCAACGCATGCGCACTTACAGCCAATGGGCGCAGGAGACGACCGCCATTCAATTGCAAACGCTCTTTATGGTTTGAGTTGCTCTCTCCCCTAAATCGAGGCTCTTTATACTGCGGCGCCTAGAAGTGCGAAGGGGTGCGGGGAAGAAGGTTCAACATCGTGATGTAGAATACCTGAGACTGTAGTAAAAGCTGGGAAGCTAGGTCGAAGAAAAAGGACGGGGGAAAAGAACGCCTCAAACTCTGCAACTGCGTTTATTTCCTCAAAGCCTTATATACCCACAACCGAATCACCGACCACCGACGTCACAAAGTCAACCTTTGTTATGCAATTCTACCCACACTGGTCTCCCCCTCAACCGTAAACGGTAACTCCAATCCCAAACTGAAAACTTGGGACCTTGAACAAAAGAAACACAAGAAAACAAGCACACGGATCCACTTCCCTTCCAGCCGGAGTCCTGAAAGGGCTGCGCTTTATCTAAACTAGAACTGATATAACCTCCAATCTGAACCCCTGCACCGCAAATTAAGTAATTGCACGTTCATTTACAACAAAAAGTAGACATGCTCTTTCGTGTAGTGGTGAACGAGAGCGGAACGTGGCAGCACACCATCTCGCGATTTCTTCAACAAGGGTTGAATCTTGTGCAGCTTGAAAAAAATCTGGCCCCTAAGAATTTGAACGAATTGATCAGTATCCTGAAAGGAGTTCGTGGAAAGAGATGTTCTGTAGTCTCCATGAACACAAAGGACTTATCTTATTCGCTAGAAAAGGCACGTCTAATGCAAAGGGTTTGTGAGACTTTGGAATTGAATTTGGTTCATTTTCAGTTCAACTCAGGAATAACGGTGGATAGTTTTCTTTCCATTCTGGATCTGTATCTTCAGGCAACGGTGGTCGAGTGCAATGAACATAGATTCATACAAAGAGTTGGCGTATGTATAGGTTAATCAGTTGCTCCAATGCTAGCAGAAATATGCCTTAACAACATGGATGCTGCCGTAACAGATAAACTGAACTGTATTTCATCGAATACGGGTTTTGTAAGGAGGTATGTCGATGACATATTGATCTGCTCATTTTACGAAGAGGATGTAATTGATTTGGAACGGATAGCGTCGGAACTTAATTTCACTTTAGAAAAGTCGGACAATGGTATTCTACAGAGTCTGGACCTAAGCATTCACGTGGAGTTTATGTTGGGAGTACAGAAAACTTGCCGGAAAACCTCTTTTGAGTAGGAAAAGTTGAAATGCTAAATCAGTAAAAGCAGGTGTAGTCAGATCTCTAATAGGCAATGCTTTGGATTATTCGCGTTCCAATTTTATGGGTTGTGCGGTAGAAAGGCAGTGGTCAAGGTTAGAAGATGCAGGCTATGACAGTGTGTTCGTAAAAAGACAATTGGAATTGCAGCAAAAGGCTAAACAACGACCAGAAAAGGAAGCGAAAAAGCATTATGCGGTTGTTCCGCATTTTCCTGCAATTTCTCATAACCTTAAATCATTCGCAAAAACATTTAGGATAGATGTAGCGACTTTAAACTGAACCGTTTGACACCGTTTCAGACGAGTCAAAAAGTGTGTCGGAAAACGCACCGTGATAGGTCGGTAGATTGCAAGCAAGGCGTTGTCTATGAAATGCCACTGAAATTCGATTTCAACTATGTGTGTCGAACGACAAGGTGTGTGAATGATAGATTGGTTGAGCACAAAAGAAATGTAAAAGTAGACGCACCCAATTCAGAGATTGCTAAACACATGAGTGAGTGCAACGACTGTATCAGCACATTGGTCGCAAACTGACATTGTTTTCACAGAGAGCGCAACAATACTAAGATACTCATAAGAGAGACAGTTCGTATCAAATCCATGGGTAATTGTATCAGCCATGCTTCGATGTCGATGCAACTCGGAAGTAGTTCCAAGAAGTTTCTTAAAATGTAATGTTTTGTCAATTTTTTTTTTTTTGAACGTGCAGTGAGTCATCTTGGGGAGCAGGAGTTCAGTTGGAGGTCATATCAGTTCTCGTTTAGATAAAACGCAGCCCTTTCAGACTACGGCTGTAAGGGAAGTGGATCCGCTTGTTTGTTTTGTTGTGTTTCTTTTGTTCAAGGTCCCAAGTTTTCAGATTATGACTGAGGTCACCATTTACGGTTGTGGTGAAGATCAGTGTGGGTAGAATTGTGTAACAAAGGTTGACTTTGTGACGTCGGTGGTCGGTGATTAGGTTGTGGGTATATAAGTCTTTGAGGAAATAAACGCAGTGGCTGAGTTTTAGACGTTCTTTTCTCCTCTCTTTTTTCTTCGACCAAGTTTCCCAGCTTTTTCCACAGTCTCCGGTATTCTGCATCATGATCAACTTCCAACAGCTCGCCTGCGCACTCACCGTTTTTTCATTGTTCAATATCAGCCGTCAACAAACAAGTGGAATACGATGTTGTCAGCATCGGTGTGAGTCCCCGTGCTCTTTCAAAATTTTCTGAGTAGTTTAGTGGCCACAGCAAAATGGGCAGGGCTTGTTACACCTCTCAAACTTTGCGCTCATATTGTGACGTTTGACCCTCGCTGCGCGAAGGCTACAAAATCGACGCCGAAGCCTGAATTACATGGTGCAATTGTCCTCGCAATTCTCAGCTCAACTGATCTTCGGCTACGGAAAGAAGCGTGTACAGAAGTTACGCTGTTCGACGTCGCAACAGCGGGACCGGACCGTGTGAGTCAGAGATAACTAAATCATTGTCGGTTCCGATGATCAATATCTCCTTACCTCTGCTACTCACACGAAGCGTATTGATCACAGATACCCTTCAACATCACAAGCCTACAATTTGTTTGTGGTGCAATTACTATGTCGATGGCACCTAGATCGATGACGTGGTCTCATGGCCAGAAATTTGTGACATGCGTTTCTAGTTCGCTTATCTCTCTCCGCGTGGCGTATTCACCTTTACCTTTTACGCCGTGTGCGAATTCCCGACGAAGCAGTGTGTAGGCTGAGTGAAAAAAAAAAAACACAGTAACTTCAAGAATTAAAAGATGATGAGATAATGAGTGCCTTGAGGTTGCGAAATACTGAAAAATGTACCATTCTCTGTTACCATTTCAACGCAATGCGGAGGGAAAGTTCGTCTGCTTCTTGCGCAAAGGGTAGCGGTGACGTCAGAACGCCGAGCCCTGATTGGCTGATCGCGACCCCCTATCTGATGAGCGTCGCCTGATCCTTTGCAACGTCGTCTGCTCGCAACGTCGTCTGCGTCTGTCTTACCTTTCCTGCGACTTTCGGAAGTGCAGAGGCCAGATTCACAAAACGATCTTACGCCAAAAATGTGCGTAAGACAAAACTTGAGAACAAATTCGTATTCGCGAAACGAAATTATTGTAAGTTTTGCGCAGGTTACGACGGAATCCTACGACAGCTCCGAAGCTGTCTTACGCACTTCTACGATCAAATCAGCATGGCCGACAGCGTCGCGGTCGCGACGACCCACGGACGTTTATTTTTCTACGTGCACTTCTCACGCGTCCCGACTTCAAGCAGCAAGAAAAAAGTAAAAAGTACTTGCAACAGACCACGACGAACAAGAACGCTGGATCCACAAACACCCGGGAAAAGCTCCAACGGCCACGATCCCACCGAACACGACCAAGCGAGTACGGCAGTTAGGCCTAGCAGGCACTCCGTGACTCGGCGACCGTCTGCCCACGACCGGCTGGCGTGCTGAATGGAATATGCCCGCGCGACCCTTGTGAACCCTTCCCGTATTATACATTGATCGCTGTCCTCAATTTTAGATTAAGATGTCAATTTCTTCCTCTTGTTATCTCCATGTTTCCCGAGGCAACGGTGACTCTCGCCGGTGAAAAAGCGGTGAATCTCCGACAGACGCAGGAAAGGTAAAGCAGCCATCACTTTGACTAGCAGACGAAAAGCAGACGACGTTAACTGCGCCAACCCGCCGACGCCGTTAAAGAGTGGAGTCTCGCCGCACACGAGAGGAGGGGAAAAGCATTTGGAAGGGAACTTGCGGGCACTAACACGCTTACTCTCGGTTCTTAGCGAACAAACCTCGGCGCTTCGGGACACCTCGCCAGTGAGTCCTTTGACTTCCCTCCTTGATGCGCGTCTGCTAGTTGTTAGACAAAAACAACGTACCGCTCGAGTTATTTCGTCTGCCCTCCCTGAAAGGCGAAGTCGAGCTCGCTCGTAAAGACCTGTAGTTCCGAAAGTCACAAGAAAGGTAAGACAGACGCAGACGATGTTGCGAGCAGACGACGTTGCAAAGGAGCAGACGACGCTAAGTTAGGGGGTTGCGATCAGCCAATCAGGGCTCGGCGTTCTGACGTCACCGCTACTTCCTTTTTCATGCGCAGAAGACGAAAATGAGCCCACTTGCGAGGCGTATACTGTAGTCTAAGGAAGGATATCGGAACTTCTAAACAATTTCGCTGAAGTTACCAAACTATATCGCATGCATTTTCACGGTTCCTATATTTGACTTGGATTGCGATATAGTTATATAACTTCACAGATAACTGTGTTGCGAGTATAGGCATAAAACGTATGCTAGTAGCGATTGATTTCGTACAGGACGTATGAAAGGATGAATTGTCAGCTTATGGAT